TATTAATTGCTACACATTTAATCAAAACAATAAACAAATATCCCTTTAAAGCAACTGCTAACCTATTCGGTATAAAAATCACATGGCTAATAACTTATAAAAAATTTATTTAAATTTTTATTTTTAAGCCGTGCAATATTTTTGTCCCCCCCGGTAGATGTATTGTCTTTTTAATTCTTCCCTTCGTTAGAGAATGAATTATAGATACTTTTTTTTTACGTTTTAATTTATCCGTTATTTAATAATTTATAGTTTTTAAATTTCTTCATACATTCTTTATCCTTTGAAGATCATGAATATCATTATATTGCTCAAATAATTTATTTATTATATATGATAAAGCATGTAATGTTTAGAGAATTCTCCTAGATTACTCATTATCATTATTTGTATTCTATGATTTTCTGCTGGATCTTTCATTTATTGAATTTACTATTAAAAATAGAAATGCATATATCTGTAACGTGATTTTAATAGCAAACTTTCCAGACAGCCAACTTATTCTTATATATTTATTCCTATTTTTTTTTAAAAATTATTATAAAAAGAATGAAATTTCCGCAGCCACATTCATAATTTTAAATAATAAAATTCATCAACATTATTCTGCTTTGCAAATTAATACAATGTATTATTTCTGGAACTCCGCGAACCCAACCAGCAAGCCGTTCTTAATCAGTAAATATAAAGCATCTCTGAAATTATATAAGGAAAAAATGTAATATTTGGATCCTGTTGCTTTTATTAATTACTTCACCATTTAAAACATATTAACAGTAGTAGTTATGAAACTATATGCATTATATAATTCAGGCTATCGCTACATTTTAATCTTACAAAATTTCTAATTTCAAGATAATGCTCTAGAAACATCAAAGAAAAAAAGCAGCTGTTTCAGCCCAACATAAGAAATTAAAATCGAAACTATATATTAAAATCCCGGTTGAAAGAAATCGTGGTCGGACCCATATAGCTTGTTCTTATTTTTATTGAGATATACTATACTCTACTCATTTGATGTGTATCAACATGATTTCGTGTTCGAACCCATATATTAATTTGATGGATTCTAACAGGACTCCCACTGCCTTTTTCTTTAATATTCGGCGTACGACATACAATCCTTGATGCAAATCCTTGCGATTTCGTATGAAACTCGCTTCAAGCCATCTCGACGAACTTTCTTGCTTACCGATGATCGTGACATTTCGTGTTATTCTCCTGCAACAAATTCATAAAATTTAAGTTTACATATAATAAAATTTTACATAAACCAAAATCACAAAAAAAAAAGTCTAAAAAAAAGTATTATCGATACTGAAGATGATCATTATGAGATAATATTTGATGAACTTGAATATAAAGAGCGGAGCTTTGGCTTTAAATGAACGCGAAATTGATTCGAGTTTAATGAATCATCAAAACTTGGAAAAGTCAAATCTTAAATTTTATTATATTCACGCGTTAAATGCCGATTTAAAAAAATAACTAAATTATGTAATGTTACTTAAATTAGTTAAATTATTAAAATATTATACATAACAAAATGATTTTATAAACTGTGGTGTATATCATAACATGCAGCTTCATTTTTAGCGTCTTCCTTCTGTTCGAAAACCGGAGAAATGAATCTTCTGTTGGCGGCGGCTCAGATGCACCTATATCCTTTTCGATTCCTGCTGAATTCGAGTCGATCCACTCTCTTTTTAAAAGTTTTTTTAATTTATTTATGTATTCGAAATGTTGTCATTTTCGTTTTTGTAATAGTTTTAGAAATGAATGCCATTTTGGCAGCTTCATTTTTAGCTTCTTCCTTCTCTTCGAATACTGGAGAAATGAATCTTCTGTTGGCGGCGGCTCAGATGCACCTATATCCTTTTCGATTCCTGCTGAATTCGAAGTCGATCCACTCTCTTTTTAAAAGTTTTTTTAATTTATTTATGTATTCGAAATGTTGTCATTTTCGTTTTTGTAATAGTTTTAGAAATGAATGCCATTTTGGCAGCTTCATTTTTAGCTTCTTCCTTCTCTTCGAATACTGGAGAAATGAATCTTCTGTTGGCGGCGGCTCAGATGCACCTATATCCTTTTCGATTCCTGCTGAATTCGAAGTCGATCCACTCTCCTTTTAAAAGTTTTTTTAATTTATTTATGTATTCGAAATGTTGTCATTTTTGTTTTGTAATAGTTTTAGAAATGAATGCCATTTTGGCAGCTTCATTTTTAGCGTCTTCCTTCTGTTCGAAAACCGGAGAAATGAATCTTTTGTTGGCGGCGGTGCAGATGCACCTATATCCTTTTAGATTCCTGCTGAATTCGAAGTCGATCCACTCTCCTTTTAAAAGTTTTTTTTAATTTATTTATGTATTGTCGTTTTTGTTTTTGTTTTTGATTTCTTTTTTTATTTCTTTTTTTATTAAATTTTTAATTTTCTTGTAGTGTTTCGGGCGGGCGAAACTAGTTTCGCCAAATTGATCTGCAAAATTCTTTCCAAATTTAGGTTTCAGAAGTTTCGGATAGTTTCGGATCATAGAAAAATTCTCTTGGGCGAAACGTTTCGGATGTTAAGAAATAGTTTCGCATGAAACACTATTTTCTTTGTTTTTTTCGGCATCCAAATTTTTCAGAAACTTGGGTTCCATTTTCTTGGTGGTTCAACTTTTCTCTTATATCATGAAGGAAGCTTTCGTACTCTTCAAAGATATGAGTTTCATCAATAGGTTTTGGCGTCATCTTCTTTTGCTTCTTTTTTTAGGTGAAAAATTTTCTTTCGTTGAAGATGGAAATATGGGAAGTTTGCTATTAAGATTTTTTTTTAGCAAACCTCCCAAGAAAGAAAAGAAAAAAAAAAAAAAAGAAAAGCCCAATATATATATGTACATGTCGTGTTTGTCGTCTGTTTTCCATTTTTGGTAATTGATTACAATGTATTATTCTTGATTACGTGATCAATACTTGATTACAAATCATCATGTGCTTTTTTTTAAAAAAAATATTGCAAATAATCGGAATTAAATTTCATTGTCGCGTAAATCAAAATAGAACGTTTTTGACTTTACTGCAATTTTCCCATGATTACACAGAGCTTTCATTCTGATTGTTGGGTAATACAAACAAATGATATTCCAGTAAAAGCAAAAAAAAAAAAACTGAAGTTAAGCTAAAGTTTTCGTAGCTCCAAGAGAAAATGTTGAGATATCCAAATAAATATCAATATCAAAGATGTGGTTTATCAACTTTTGGAAGGTAACAGGATTATTATCCATTTTAAATTGGTATGTGCCATCTTTTTTCATTTATCTCAATTTGTCAATGTCTGCTAAAAAGGTCTAACGAAGTGAGCCACAAAAGCTTTGTTCAAGGAGTCTAATATATCATCAATCCGAAGAAAAGAAAATACATCTTTTTTTGGTATTGGTATTTATCTCACGATAGTTAGCAGCACAATCCTTCAAGTACCATCTGGCTTTTCAATTAACATAACCAAAGATGCTCATGCCAGTAGATCTCTCAATAATATATATCGTTCAAGTATTTGAGTCATACTGAATTACGGGACATTCTTATAGGGAAATTATTCACCGACTATGATTGATGTCAAAACAACATTATTCATCCAAGTTGAGAAGAATTCGAATTAAATGCAATATTCCAGAGTAATCGATCCAACTCGAAAGACTTGGAATCAGGATTTTCAACTGGTAAAGTAATGGGTTGAGCAAGCATCAGATTTTCACCGTTTGTCATCACGTCATACCCTAGTTAACCTAAATTGGAATAATTTAAAAATATAACTATTTATTTATATCCTTTGAAGGTAAACAATGAAACCAAATAATTCAAAATAGTTACTTTACATTTTCGGCATTTTACATTTTATTGCTATGCTGTCAATCAAGCTTTAGTGATTTCGGTACAGCAAATAAGTACTTTTTTCCAAAGAAAAGACAGAAATATTTAAATCTTAGCACTGAGCGATATCAAGTAAGTACAAAATTTTATTATTGTATAACAAGGAGTTTCATTTGACTATAATAATTGAACTAACTCTTAATGATTGTAAATTGTAACTTCAATGTTTCTTATTGAGAAAAAACTACGAGAAAAGATCAAGGAATCTCTAGACCTGAAATCCACGTCGGGGTAATATCAAGCGAATATCTTCTCCTATCTCTATTTTTCACATACTGGATGTTCCTTTTCGATTGAGAAAGTTAGAATTATATCGACCTCAAATTGACATGGAAGGTATCTTATTATTACTATTAGGCGATATTATGAAATTATCTCAAAGACTTTAAGCATGTTATTAAGGACGTCGTGAATTATGTAGAACATGAGAAAAAAATACAGTAGGTATCATTGAGATATTACTAGGCCGTAAAAGCAAGGACAAACCCTATATTGGTTCGATCAAGAATCCTGAGGACAACATATATAAGTAGATCTGAAGTTTTCCTTCCTCAATTATTTAAAAACTCTGTTTATTTGTTATGGATGAATTCATTTCATTATATCTTCACTCAAATTATTATAGATTTATTTCTATTCAATAACACCAATCATGAAATTTGGGTTGTTATAGCTTAAAGAGGGATTATAATTAATGGTCAGTTATAGTCGTTCAATCGTTGATCAATGGTCGGTCAATTGTCTTTGACCGAATTTTTTGTATATTATCTTATTCCTTTAGTAAGTATATTAGTAATTTTGTTTATATTCATTATAATAATGATTTTATTATTTTTTTAATTTTGATATACGTTTCTTTCTCATTTAGCGCATAACATTATCTCTAACGATTTTTAAAAAAATTTAAAGATGAACTGCAAGAATGGTCGCTCATTGGTAGGCAGTTTGATTTTTCCCGGAGTTAGAATGTATATAAGGTAGATATTATTCAGAAAACAACATACGGTATGATTTGTAATTTACTAAAATTGAGTCATCCTTTTCAAGAGTTTATTGCAGTTAGAGATGAAGTATGTTGATGAGTACGAAATATCTCAATGAAATGGGGATGATATAAAAATTAATGATGAAAGTAAGTAAATATATTTGTTTAATTTTTATCATATGTTTTTTATTGTAATTTTTTTTTAATTTGAAAAACTTTTATTATTCGAGGATTTGAATGATATTAATAGATAAAATTAATCCTAAATTGTATTAAGAACTGAAGGAGTAATTGAAAAAGGAGATATTTAAGCTTTAAAAAGAATATAGTCGAAAATTCTTTTTAAAAAATGGGGAGTGAATTTTAACAAGCAGCAAGATTTATTTGGCGATGTTTCAGTTGTAAGTTTTACTAGTCGTTTGAGATTATTTTTCTATAAGAAACTGTAAATAATCAAATTAAATTTAGAGTGAATTATATAGTCAGGTTCAAATAATTTTCAAACATGACGTGTGTTAATTTCAATCTCAGCACGCGTTTGATGGTTTGTTTCGAAGAAAAAATAACATTCAATATCATCAGACAAAATGCCTTAAGTTCTTGTCAGGACAATTATAAATCATCCACCTGATGATACTATTTTCACTTACAAGTATATGCGTCCAAATCTGAGGACATTTCTTTCGTATTAATTGAAATTTGCTGAAATATCTGTTTTACACTTCTATATACCTTTATGATATTATATTAAAATTTGTGCCATTTTTGCAATTTTGAAATATTTAAACAAAAATTTAATAATTGGATGGCAACTAATACATTGTATAAAACATCTCAGATTCAAAAATAGAATCAATTTTAGAATCAATCAATTTTATTTGTGGGCAGCAAATTTTGAAAAAAAATAAAAAAATAAAAAAAATATAAATATTTCTAAGAAAATTATTATTAATCAATACACAATATTCCTTTGCTACTAATCGTAAAAATGTTTTATCTAAAATTTTTTTCAATTATGAAAAACTGATACGAGAATCTAAAAATCTATTTGCCCGGCCTATTGGGAAATTTTCTTTTTATTTCCATTTAGTAATTATTATTTTTTTGTTGATCGATCGCAATCATTTTATTTTTCCGCGCTTTGGATTTATTCTTTTTTTTTTTTTTTTATTTTTGAGTTGGATCATTAGGTTTTTTTTTTTTTTCTCCTTGATCAGAGGATTTCTAGGAAAATGAGTTCCCAACTAAAATTAAGAACTTAATGCATTTTAAATCTAATAACATCATAAACTAAAATGCAATAAAAATCACAATTTTGTTAAAAATTCCCGGAACCCACCCATATAATATCAAGGCATTTGTAACGATGCGATTATAAATTTTTTTAAAAATAATGTTATGTTTAGAACGTTCACATTCTTTCCAATTTAAAGACAAATGAGAAAATTCCAATTTCAAATGTTAATAGTGTTACTATTGAATGTAATTCCGGCCGAAATCTCCATAATTCCACATGAGAATCGTTTTTGATATTTACAGTGCAGTTAGGGCTGTCAAGGTGCCAGGTTGTTAAGATGCCAATATGACAAGGTGATCAAAACGCCAGGCTGGCCTAATTATTTTTTTTTTATATATACAAGCCCGGAAATCATTAAACAGCTCAACATCCTTTGTTATAAAAAAAAAAAAAAAAGTCGTTTTCTCCGTCTTAACTTTTAGATTTGGTAGTAATTTCGTTATTTCATTATTTTGTAATATTTTCGCAATTGCGCAGTTTTTATTAATTAGAATTTGACATTTACTTAGTTTAATATATTGATCAAGCGAGACAACACTGATTAATTTGATAATATTAAATAAATACTTGTCACAATTACTTCATTTTTACTCAATAGATATTCAATTTATTAAATTAATACCTTCTACTTACAATACAAATCGTTTATTAAATACATAACAAAAGAATTGAATACACCAATAGCATCCGAATGTAATAAAGCAAAATTTATTTTTTCTAATTACGTTTAGCGTAGATCTTGTCAACCCAAATAAAAAAAACAAGTTATCATTATTACTTTCTGATACAGAAACTATTACAGAACTTACAACTACCGATATCACAAGCACAAAAATAGTACAAAAAACGAAGAATAGAATTTCGTTCATCCTTAATTAGAACTAACTGCAGTCATACAGCATTTTTCTTTCGGATCGAAAAAGAAAATCCTAACATTGCTTATTGCAAAATTTGTGAAATGAATTTGCAGGAACAAATAAAGCTGCATATGACTATAACCGATAAGGTGGAAATACTACTATAACACATTTTGCGTGATAAGCATAATATAAAAAAATTATTGGAATTTTTGAATGACGAAGAGGTAATTTTTGATCATCAATATGCTTAAAAAATATCAAAATTAATTTATCTAAATCGTAAAAAATTTAAAATTGATTTGATTCAACCCGGTTCTTTAAACCGGTTTCGATTCGGGCCGAGCACTCGAATTGACCCGGTTATCGATTGCAACCGATTTAAACCGGGTCTAACTCCTTCAGCCAATTTCTACAATTTAGGATTAATTTGTATTTTATTAACGTTAATATCATTTAAATCCTCGAATAATAATAATTTCCTAAATTTTTTTCAAATAATCACAATAACAAGCATATTATATAAATTTATTTACTTACAGTACTTTCATCATTATTTTTTCATATCATCACCATTTCATTGAGATATTTCGCACTCAGGAACATACTTCATTAACTCACATAAACTCTTGAAAGGATGACTCAATTTTAGTAAATTTAAAAACATATCCTATGAATAATATATACCTTATATACATTATAACTCCGGGAAAAATCCAACTACCAGTTCGCCTTTAAATTTTTTTCTAAATGGTAAAGAAATGTATATCAAAATTAAAAAAATTTTAAACTAAAATATATATAAAATAGAAAAAATCATTATAATGACGATTGACTGACTATGACTGACCATTATATTCCCTCTTTAAGCTATTACAACCCAAATTTCATGATTGTGCTATTATTGATTAGAAATAAATCTATAATTATTTGTGCGAGGATATAATAATGTAAATAAAATTAAAAACGTCCATGACAAATAAACAAATATTGAGGAAGGAAACTTCATAAATGGTGCCCTCAGGATTCTTGATCGAACCAATATAGGGTTTGTCCTTGCTTTTACGGTTTAGTAATATCTCAATGATACTACTGTATTATTTCTCATGTTCTACATAAGTCACGACGTCCCTCTTTGAGATAATTTCATATATTTCGCCTAAAAAACCTAAAAAACAAGACCAATATTAATAAGATGTCTTCCATGTCAATTTGAGGTCAAAAAAATTCTAACTTCCCAATCGAAAAGGAACATCCAGTATGTGGAAAATAGAGATAGGAGAAGATATTCGCTTGACAATGCCAACGACGTGAATTTCAGGTCTTTTGATTTCTTTGATGTTTTCTCGTAAAATCGTCAGCGTTTCGACAACATTATGACTGATTTATATGATGGTGAAGTGTGGCAGACGTTAAAAGAATCTTCTGAAGATTCGGGCAAAGTTTTTACGAGATGAAGTGGCTGATTCTCATCTTGGATTAATGCTAAATCTCGATTGGTTTTAATACAGTAAGAGTTAGTTCAATTATTGTAACTTCTTGTTCTACAGTAATAAAATTTTGTACTTACTCGATATCGCTCAGTGCTAACATTTACATATTTCTCTGTCCTTTCTTTGGGAAAAGTATTTGTTTGCTGTACCGAAATCACTAAATCTTGATTAACAGCACAGCAATAAAAGATAAATATATCAATATGTCGAAATGTAAAGTAACTATTTTGAATTATTTGGTTTCATTTTTTACCTTCAAAGGATATAAACAAATGGTAAAATTTTTAAAATTATTCCAATTCAGGTTTATGTAATAGGATTTGACGTGATGACAAACGGTGAAAATTTGATGCTTGGAATAATAATGCTGCTTGCTCAAGCCATTACTTTACCAGTTGAAAATCCTGCGTTCAAGTCCTTCAAGTTGGATCGATTACTCTGGAACAATACATTTAATTCGATTTATTCTAAGGAATAGATGTAACTCAACTTAGATGAACGACGTTGGTCTGACATCAATCGAAGTCGGTGATAATTTCCCTATAAGAATGTCCCGTCCCGTAATTCAGTATGTAATCAGCAACGAAATTACTCAAATACTTGAACAATATATATTATCGAGAGATCTACTGGACCATGGGCATCTTTGGTTGTGTTAATTGAAAAGCCAGATGATTCTTGAAGGATTGTGTTAACTTTCGCGAGATAAATACCAATACCAAATAAGATGTATATTCTTTTCCTTCGGATTGATGATATACTAGACTCCTTAAACAAAGCTTTTTTGGTTCACTTCGTTAGACATTTTAGTAGACATTGGCAAATTGAGATAAATAAAAGAAGATGGTACATACCAATTTAAAATGGGTAATAATCCTGTTACCTTCAACCACATCTTTGATATTGATATTTATTTGGATATCTCAACAATTTCAACAATTTCTCTCGGAGCTTCGAAAACTTTAGCTTTGTAAATATCTTACTCATAAACTTCAGTTATTTTTTTTTTTGCTTTTATTTTGCTTTTACTGGAATATCATTTGTTCATATTACCTTTATTATGAAAAGTATGTGAAGTTCTGTGTAATAATGGGAAAAAATTGCAGTAAAGTCAAAACGTTCTATTTTGATTTACGCGACAATGAAATTCAATTCCGATATTTGCTACAGTATGTAATCAAGTATTGATCACGTAATCATAAAAAGTTTGGAATAATAAATCATTTGTAATCAAAAAAAAAAAAACAAGTTAAAGTCACGATAAAGTATAATAATAATATATACGTAAACGCATCAAAATTTCCAAGCTAAAAAATTACCAAAAATGGAATATTCAGACACGAGTTGACAAACACGACACAAATATATAATGGGGGTTTTTTTTTCTTTCCTTTTTTTTTTTTTTTACTTTTCTTTCTTATAAAATTTTTTTTTTTTTAAAAAAAAAAAAAAAAAGTAATTTTTCAATTTGAAATATTATTTCCAACTAGAGACTGGTCTCTTATTCGTTTAACTCGAGTCAACTCGAGTTAAATTCTGATTCGAGTCAAGATTTTCTTGATTCGAGTCAGAATTCGAGTTGACTCGAGTTTCTGACTCAAATTTCCAACTCGAGTACTCTTCGAGTCAAAAATTTCTTGATTCGACTTTGACTCGAGCTAACTTTTCTGACTCGAGTCCAAACTCTATTTCCAACTTTTCCAACTTCACTTTTTTTCACAAATAAAAATGAATAATTCACAATCTACTTCACAATCTACTTCAAGCACCACTGGTTATAATATACCAGAAATTGAAAAAGCACTTTGTAATACACCAAAAACCGAAGTTCTTGATGATATTTATAAAACACGGCAGCATACAAAAGAAGCCTTTTCAAATACTGAAGAGCAAAAGAAGCTGCTTCTAAGAACCTATTGAAAGAAATTATGTCTTCGGAAGATCAGGATATAAGAGAAAAGATGAATAGAACCACCAGGAAGAAATGAAGATGGAGAGCTATTCAATTTTCTGAAAAACTTGGACGACGGAAGAAAAGCAAAAAAAATAAAAAATTTAACAAAAAAAAGAAATCAAAAAAGAAAACAAAACAAAAACGACAACATTTCGAATACATAAATAAATTAAAAAAGCTTTTAAAAGGAGAGTGGATCGACTTCGAATCTAAAAGGACATAGGTGCATCTGCGCCGCCGCCAACAAAGGATTTATTTCTCCGGTTTTCGAACAGAAGACGCTAAAAATGAAGCTGCCAAAATGGCATTCATTTCTTTTTGCTAATATTTTTTTTTTTTTTTAAAAAAAAAAAATATGTAGAGGAACAACCTACGTTCTTAGACGAACTTTTAATTTTTTTTTTTTTTTGTTCTTTACAAATTTAATAATGGTGTTTCGGGGGTTTTACTGGATATCATAACAAATAATCGGGTGATTAGTAATAGATTTTAGGAAATTTATTAATTTTTCCATTCGTCAAAGAATGGATTTATTTTTTTTTTTTTTTTACGTTTTAATGTCTTTTTAGGAAATTTATTAATTTTTCCATTCGTTAAAGAATGGATTTATTTATTTTATTTTTTTACGTTTTAATTTGAAGATTATGAATATCATTTTTAACAAACTAATTTTGTTATTAATTTAATCAAACCTTTTATAATAATAAGAAATAAAGCTATTGCAGACTACCTTTAATATAAATATAAAATATATATTACTATTTTTTTTTTTTTTTGTATAATAGCTTAACTTTGATCTCAAAACTTGTATTTTTATTAGTAAAAATTTTAAAATGTAAAACAATTTTTTATAATTTTCTTTATAAATTAATTTTGAAATAAATATACAAAATTTTATGAGTAAATTTATTCATCGCAGGGCCTTTATATATATCCTTTACCCTTACCTTAACTCTAACCCTAATCCATTAGGGTTTCAAACATGAAAAATTTCTAAGTCCCCAGAATATATATGAATAATGAAAAGGGAGGGGGTATGACACGGGTGACAAAAAGGAGGCGATGATATCGCGCCCGCGATGAATAATTTTACTCAAATTTTTATTTATAATAAAGTTATATATTTTAGGAAAAATATAGGAATGATCTTTAGCCAAAATCTTATTGTTTATCCCATGGATTGCTAACCATGGAAACAATAAATTATCCTTTATAAGGCAATTCATTTTGGGTGTATTTGACAATATAACATGCCGAAGCTTTATCTTTTGATTTCTCGATTATGGAATAGATATGTCTAAACTGATGGATATCTCATTATCAGTATCATAATATTATGAGCTTCTCGCAAGTTCATCAAGGGTAATGAAGTTCCGGAAATAGATTTTCGATTTTCTTACTTTCATTATTTCGACCTCCTAATAATTGTGCGGTCAAAACTTCAACTACAGTATTAACATTATATTTTTCGTAGTACTTTGAGCTTCATTATTAAAATTTCCACGATAAGCAATAACTTCTTTCATCATATATAGTTGTTTACATTATATTTTAGCAGTGGGTCCCTATCGAGTTGGACTTCAGAAGTTTAAGAAAAGGGTCCCAACACCATTTCTTGGATTCATCATTCATTATATTGGTGTTAAATAACCAATTAGGTCCCTAGCACCAATTCATAACAGCACCTTTTCTACTGCTTCTACAACTCATATTTTCCATTTGAAGCTATTGAGATTACATAATTTATTCGAAAGTATACTAGCTTATAAATTATTTTACTAGTTTCCATAAACATTTCAAATTAGTTCGGTAAACTTTTTGTGTGGAATCAGCAGCCGCATCAACCTCACGAAAAGCAGTTGATGAGTTATCTAGTATTTAAATTAGTGAACTTATTTCAACCTTTCGATTTCGATGGATTTCGATGGTTTCAACGGGTTTCGATTTCGATGCTGTCGAAACTTTCGGGTTTAGCCCAGCAACCTTAATGAAGATATAAGAATTAGTAATGATTAATAAGTATTGATATTTTCATTATATAGGAAAATTTATCTCTCTCACCTATATGTTCCGTTATGATTGCTATTTGACCATCACCCACTACTGTAGATTAGATCTAACAAACGATATACTAGCTCAGATAATAAACGATCAAGAAACCTTGAGATGCCAAATTTTTATTTGAAAAATAATAGTACTAATACACAGTGTTGACATGATGTTTACATAGTCGAATCAAACTCTGAGATTATGGTTGAAGCTGTAGATGAGAAATTTGAACTTGAAATGCTTAATTATTTACACTCAAGAATAATGGATTCAGGAGAAGTGTTCAAATATTTGTCCGATGCCTCATTACTTTGTTGTAACTCTGTACTCATAATTTTAAAACAGAACCGCGCTCAAATGTTCATTGTTTAGCAGGGGTTTATACCGATAGATATTATCATGCTGATTTTGATGAGACAGGTAGAAAAATTAGGGAACTAATTAAAGAGAATGAATGGGATTCTGATCAATTTCCAGAAATGAAACAAAATTTGTTAAACAAGCTTAATATCCGAGTTCAGAATTCATATGAGCAAATTTTCAATGAAAAAAAGAAAATCCTGATTATATCAGATTTTTAATTTTTCTATTGAACATTTCTATAAAGTTATACAGTCAGAACTCCTCCACGGTTTATTATAAATAATTTTGAAAAAAATGTTTTATCAAAATTTATAAATTTGATATAACGATTTTTATTATAGAACAAAAATTTTAAAAATCGGAATTCATTAATTGATCGTTATTTCAAGAGTTCATTATAACGAGTTCTGAACGTACATACTTTCATTATTTTTTTTTTATATTTCTATATTTTTATATTTGTTTCTTAAATAAAAAAATTTTTTATCAATATTTTACCGATTTGTTTATCAGTATCTAAGTAATCTAAATAAAATTTTTATAAGTGGTACTAGAAATACATTTGCATATTTTACAGAAGGGAATCAATACAATGATGTGTAAAGTGTTAGCTAAAGATTTCCATAAATGCAATAGATTTATCATATCTCAACTTAAGGTTAATGCTCCAAACCATAAATCGTAAAAATCCTGAAAATTCGCTTTGATTATGTCTTTTGAAACGAACCAAACCAAAAATTTTCGGATTCATTTTTATTCAATCCGAAACCGAACCGATTTTGAAGTCTTCGGATTAATCCGTACCGTTCGGAGCTTTAGTCAAAGTTAATATAAATATGGTTACATAAATTTGACTGAATCATTAAAAATCTATATTCTGAATTTGCATCTCAATAGTAGTTGACTTGATAAAATTCTGATGAATGAGTAACTTATCGCCTAATTTTTCAATATTATAATGCTTAATTAGGTTTATAATCAAAGTATTTACAGTATATAGCAAAAACTAAATTCAAATCATCTCAATCACATAAATTATTTTATTACTTAAAAATTTTTGAACAAGTTTCTATTTTCTTTATTTCTTATTTTTTTTAGAATATAAATCTATAAAATAGTTTTAAAACTATTTATCAATATATTCATGCTTCTGAAGTTCAGCAAAGACAGCATGATGAACAAATGGATATCTTTAAACAGTTTTTAATGAAATTTTAATATGGAATAAAAAGTTATAAACATAGTGTAATTAATATATTTTATTGCATTAAAAGATTAGCTAAATATTCTCTTTTTTGAGAACCTGCTATTTCTTCTCTTTCATAATTTACTGCTTCATCTATATCATTTTCTATTTCTCTATTCATATTATCTTCTAAAGATAAAAAATCATTCATATCAATACAGAAATTATGTAAAATACAACATGCATGTATTATTTTAATAATTCGTTCAATATTAGTACAATAAATTTCTTTTAATAAAATTCTCCACCTTTCTTTCAAATGTCCAAATGCTCATTCAATAACCATCCGCATTGAAGAAAGAACTTTATTAAAATGTCGTTCTCTATGATTTAACATATAATAATCAGGAAATGCTTTCATTAAATATGTTCGAAGAGGATATGCTGCATCAGCAATAATATAAGTTCCACCTGGAACCCATTGTTCAGGATGTAAAGAAATTTCATGATAAAGAGATGAACGATAAAATACTCGAGCATCATGTACACTCCCTATTTAAGAGACATTATGTAAAATATTTTTTATTTGTAAAAATATAAGTAAAAAAAATTGTATATTACCTGCTTCTCCAACATATATATAAGTAAAGCGCTCTCGATGATCAACAACTCCAAGAAGATTAATGGAATGAAAAATTTTACGATTTATATAACGTGCACCATTTTTAGAAGGTGGATGAATAGATATATGTGTCCCATCCATTACACCAATAACATTGGGTAGTTTGCGATTTTCCAAACCAGATTCTCCATGCTCAAACCCTTGTATTACTTTTATCAATTGTGATCCTTGTGGTCATGTAATTCGTTTTTGTTCTAAATCCAATAATGCTTCTAAGAACCGATCGGTAAATTACTTACAAATCCTTGACTTACTCCAAGTGTTTGCTCTAATACTCGTATTCCTACTCCATTTGCCAATCGCCATAATACAATAGCAATTTGTTTCCATATAGGTATTGCATTAGATGAATTTAAAATAAAGGCTGGATGGGTTTCTAGCCGAATTACAATAGTACGAAAAGTAGTAAGGGTGATGCGAAAATGTTTTTGAAAAGAATTATAACCATTTCCATCTACTAAAACTGGAAAAACATCTGTCCAGAATCCATTGGTTTTAGGTCTTGGTTGACGTTGTATTCTTGTATTTGATGGTGAAAAGAAAATAAATGGAATAATTGAATTTATAACAGCATAATTAAAGGTTAGAAGATTGTAAATATTAAATCTTTGCATTTGAATATTCGACATCTTTTATTTGCTGTAAGAATTTGTAACATAAAAAGTAATATAATAATTTTTTTGCGATGGTTTCGTTGGTTTCGCTGAAGATCCATAATGTAAGACAAAAAGAAAGAAGTACGATTGTTCAACCTTTATTGTTGCTCAATCAATGGTAAAACTCGACCAACCAGCGCAGCTCTATGAAAAAAAAAGATGGGTATTAGCTCCAGATTTTTTGACTTAAATGATCATCACAGTCGAATTTTTCAGCCAATCAAAACATTCAAAAAATCATTGAGGGAGGTGCTTGAGAACGGCCTAAAAGAGATCTTTCAAGCATTTTCCTTCATTTGTGTATCTTGAGTAGTAGCTCTATTATTCTTTTTATGAGTTTGTTCTTTATAAACTTTCGAATGAAGAGAAGCTGCTCAAGTATTGATTGCGATCCTTATTTAAATTGATCATGGTGCATGAGCATCATCTCAATCACTAGCCAATTACATTGAGGGAGTTGCTTGAGAACGCCCTTATTCACCTCCATTGACACGTCAGATTAACGCCTTGTATTGTGATACTTTAGTCAAAGGGATTGAGAGCTCTTGATTATTGATACGGATGCTGCTGAGAGTATTGTCTCCTACTAACTGTTGAATGGTTTGGGAACATTGATCGATCTACTTCAACAAAAATGATCAATGTTCAGTGGAGAGTACTTGAATTTCCCATCATCATTTAAGACCCATCGAAATTGTTGTAACAAAAGCCTCCCTCTATCGTCAAAAATAATTGGTTAAGCAAGGTAGAGAGATACGATCCAATCCGATCAATCCGAATATCCGATGAACCATCCGTCAAAAATTGGATTATAGATTGAGAGATTTACCATAAGTCCGGTTCGTGGTCTAGTATTCTAAAAATAAAAGCACGTTGCTAAAAAGAAAAAAATTTAAATATCCGGCCAATCCGGATGATCCGTTGTTTGCGGATGGTTAATCGGATTCATTCCAGATCGAACCTCTAGAGCAAAGTTAAACTAATGCTGAGTTTACAAACAATAATATGACCAACACATTAGATAAACATTAAATACAACCTTGCTTCTTTAGAAATGATGAGAACAACAAATCTAAGATCTCTTGAGAAGAATAGCGAGGAATTTGATGAGAGGAGGAGTATGAGGATGTTGATATTGATGAACAAACTTTTATTATTTTCATTTCCAGATTTTATCTTTGAAGGATCCCCATTAATCACTTTGACTCTGTGGTGAACGAAGAAGTTTATTTAAGAGTTTGTAATAGAACTGCTATCGGCACCTTAATGAAAGATTCAAGCCTCACTTTCCAAGAAAGCTAAATGAATCATTGATGTTAAAGGAACCTATACTAAATTTTGGTGAATTAACTCGCTATATTCCCCTTCTGAAAATTATAATAATTATTTACTATAATTGCGGAATTTTATTACAATTCAAAATTTACCAAATGTTAAGTCAGAATGGTCCTAAAAATTTATACCCCCTTAGAGAAGTCCGAAGTGATTGGGATATATCTACTGAGCCTTATCACCCAATAAGTTGAATTTGCAAAGGTGTATGACATGAAAAAAATAGCCAAAATTGTTTCTGTGTGAAAGATTAATCTTAAGGAATGGAAACAATTAAATAATGAAGTCAAACATTATTATAATGAGATTACTTTACCAGTTGAAAAGCCTGATTCCAAGTCCATCAGGTTAATTCGAATTCTTCTAAGGAACAGATGTTAACACAACGATGTGAGGTTTGACATCAATCGAAGTCGATGATAATGTGAGTGACGAAATTACCCGAACAATATATTATCGAGAAATCTACTGGACCATGGGCATCTCTGGTTGTGCTAATTGAAAAGCCAGATGGTTCTTGAAGGATTGTGTCGACCATCGCGAGATAAATACCAATACCAAGAAAGGTGTGTTTACTTTTCCTTCGGATTGATGATACTAGACTCCTTGAACAAAGCTTGTTTCTCTCCGTTAGAAATTTTTAACAGACATTTGCAAATTGAGATAAAAAATGGCGCATTCCTGTTACCTTCTAAAAGTTAATAAACCACATCTTTGATATTGGTATCTTACTCATAAACTTCATTTTTTAGACATTAAATTTCGAATTTACGTATCCTGCTGAAATTGCCTTTATTATATTAGAGAAATATGAGGCCTGTCTTCTTCAGAATGATGTGTGCACCAACCTATAATCTATCGGAATTGAACATTATCAAAATATGTAGGGAATATGTATCGGAAATTTTTTATTTCTTAATAAAGGAAAGTTTCATGACTTTTTATGAGTTTACAAACAAAAGTAAAGTTCTGTGTAATAATGCGATGAAAAACGTACGTAACGTAATCATTAATAATAATAATAAAATTAGCCTACTTTTATAAGCAAATAGATTCAATTTTTTTTTTTTTTCTGGATAAAATAACCATTTATTGAATATATAATTCCGAGTATTTGTAATCACTAAAGAACAATACATCTGAAAATTGTATTTTTTATATTTGTAATCATGAGGAAACATATTTTTTGCTTTACGATTGTGATATGTCATTTGTATTACCTTCATTAATCATAATTATACAACTAATTTTTTTTTTATTTAGAAACAATACATCTAAACGTGTCAGAATTTCTAAAAACGGATTCATATTTCCATATTTATACGAGAAAATTTGTAATATTTGTAATTATGCATGTAATTGCAGGGTCACATGGGTGATTAGACACAACACAAATATATTGGGCTTCTTATTTTTTTCTTTCTTTTTTTTTGCTTTTCCTTCTTAGCTTTGTTTATAATTTCCAACTTTTATCGGAAATTTTTGTTTTTACTTCCTTTCAATTAAAAATGTATACTTCACTATCTTACAACTGGTTTTATTGGCAGCAGCCTAAGGTTGCGGGCAAATCTCAAATCCATTTTCGAAACTTTCGATTTCGATGGTTTTCGATTTCGATTTCAAAATAACGCTCTTACGAATTTGCAAATGCAATCTAACACAAATGCACTGGAAAATCCACCTATAAGAGAAGCACGAGTAGTGGATATACCACTTTATTACGGAGGCAATCAAGACCCTATTGGATGGTTAGAAGAATTTACCCGGCCTGCAACGCTAACAGAATAGCCGATCCTAGAAAATTAGAAGGTTCCAGCTTACCTGTATCGACATGGTGGACAGCAAATCAAGCAAATGTTGTAGGACATGCTAATCGAATTGCCGTTTGGATATGATAACCACGCAGATTTTGTTGTTAATTTCCCTGCAGCCTTTCGCTCCCAACCTTGGTAGAAATTAATGGAGCGGAGTCATCAGCAACATAATGAATCCATTGACGCTTACACCTGTGCTATTCAAGAATTATACCGGAGAATAGAACTCCAGCCTTCATTTATCCAGCTGCCAAGTTTTTGAAAAACTTGCTTTTAAAGTCAGACTACGGTTACTGGTGAAAGCAAGGCAAATAACGAAATAATTTAAAAATAAAAAGACAGATAAAATGAAAACAACAACAACAATAAAAGTGGAAAGGCCTAAGAATAACGAAAATAAATTAAAAAATTTATTTAAAGGAGAGTGGATAGATTACGAATATAGCAGAAGCTTGAAGGGATACCGATGTATCTGTCTTGCGCGAAAAATAAAGTTTATTTCCAATTGTTTTAACGATAAAGAAACAGTTAAAAACCAGGCCACAAAAATGGCTTATTTATCGTTATCGTTCTTGGGTTATGGGGCTTCGTCAATAGAAATACATCTTACAGCATAATAATTTATTAAGATGGTATGACGAAGCCCCATATGTTGACGACGGAAGAAAAGAAAAAAAATTTAAAAATTCAAAAAGTCAAAAACAAAAAAAAAAAAAAAAAATTACATTAATATTTTAAAAAAACTTTTAAAAGGAGAGTGGATCGACTTCGAATTCAACAGGAATCGAAAAGGATATAGGTGCATCTGAGCCGCCGCCAACAGAAGATTCATTTCTCCAGTATTCGAAGAGAAGG